GGAGTTTGAATTCCTGGCCTGTTCCCATCTCTTGAGACTTCCAGGCTTGTGTCTCCTAAATGGAAAAAAGTGCTCTACTGGCGAAGATGCACAATAAAACAAGCTACACAGTGATACAGGTGTTAACATGTCAGTCTCTTTCCTTTGGATGAGTTCATTCACCCCCGGAGGTGCTTCTCCAAGCCAGCTGGGCACAGACGTCTGGGTGCCCACACTGTCTCTGAGGGTGTCCAGGCCTGGGAAGGGCGTTCTTTCACGAACTGCTCCCCTAAGATCAGGAGCCTGTTTAAGCTACTCCGAGATGAGAGAACATGGGTTTCTGAAGAACTTTCTTTCCCAGGAGGCCTAGGGTTCTGCTGCTCTTAAAGTGCAGAAAAATGGAGAGAAAGGGGAGGTGGGGACGGGGCCCAGGTGGAGACAGAATGTGTTCACACCGCAGGCGCTGGGTGAGATGCTCGGGGCCCGGGGGCTGCACCCAGTGAGTGCGAAGTCGCCAGCCTTGTCTCTGTGATGCCAGATGCGGGGTGTGGCCCTTGGGGGGTGGCTTTCTGGGAGGTGCGGATTCTGAGGTCCTTCAAGCCATGAGTAAGTTGACTAGCAAGGCTGTCTGAAGCTCCACTGTGAAGTGTTTTTCTAACACCGGGCACTCTTCAGCCAAGGCTGCGGCAAGCTAAAACGTCCTCACTTGCGCTCTTCGTAACTCTTGCTCTTCGCAGCTGCTCCTTCCCCAGGAGTCTATGTCTAATCATGGAGCCCTTAAGGCTTGGATCTAAGATGTTCCCTGAAGGGCTTGTGTGTGGAGGCTGGGTTTCCAAAGCAGCTATGTGAGAGATGGGGCTCTTGGTAGGGAATTGGATCACCAGGGACCTGACTTCATGAGGGCATGAATCTTCTGAGGGATTTCTAGTTATTGAGATGGTTGGGAGTTGATAGAAACAAGATGTGGGTCCTAACAGGAAGGAGCGAGTCATGAAGTCATGACCTTGGGAGCTCCATGGTGCTTACAATCTCTTCCTCTTCTGCGCTCTGGGCATCTCTCTCTGTTTCTAGCCACCCAGAGGTGAGCTCATGTGCTCTACCATGCCCTTCCTCTGTGATGTGCTGTGTCACAGGCCCAGCAACAATGGAGCCAGCATGGCCAGGACTGAATGTGTTAGACCAACACAAACTTTTCTTCCTGTAAGATGCTTTTCTCGGGTATTTTGTCACAGCCCAAGAAAGCTGACTAACAGAAGTCATTGCAGTCCTCTGGAGAAAGGAGGTGGCACAGTATCTTGGATCAGAGCAGAGTGACAGAAGGGTTAGAAAATAGTTGAAATTGGAATACGTTTGAAGCCAACAAGAATGTTAACTACATAGCTTTTACATGGCCAGTTACTAAATAAAAGTTAGATTAGATCCACTCATGAATCAGAGTGGAAGAAGAAAACAAACACACCACACCAGTCTCACAGGGAATATTGTCTTTACTTATTAACTGATAATTCAGAATCTGAGGCCCACAGAATCGAGGCAAATCCTTTTATTTTAAAAAGATTCTTGCAAAAAGAATATTCTCTTTCAATTGATTTTCATATCAAGAACCATCAAATTAGCTTTTTTCTCCTGGCTATAATTTTGCTAAGTTGCAGCCACCAAAAGTTTCCGTGTTAATATTAAAGGAGTCGATACCTGAAACACTGGAGTGTGCGCACATGGATTTAAATGTTACCTCTCACTAAATAGCTTTATCATCTTTTCAAGTTACTGATTCCTCCAGGCACTGATTTTTACAGCTACAAAATGGAGATAATAACAGTCACTATCTCAGGGGGGTGTTTTTTCCCCATCCAATCTTTGCTTCTCCTTTAACAAGAAGTATTGCTTTGCATGTGTCTCCTCTGTACTCCCCAAAGCAGGAATGGTAATTGACAAGCCAGCCAGAGCACACGCATGACTTCTACGGTCCAGGCACGGCCTTTGACCTGCATTAGAGCCAGGAAAGGACTTTTCTACCCCTTTAGTTGGAGGGATTGCGGCCCTTTTTCTTTTCCTATTAGAAGTGATGAAGGGGTATGCGGCACTGTGGTGATCTTCTTGACAATAAGAAGAAGCAGCAACGATATACTCCTGATGAGGAGGGCGGCAGAGACAGGGAGAACCTGCAGTCTTGATGATGTGATTCAGCAAGTTGTGTCGTTCCTGGACTTCTACTCAAGTCCAGTACGGAGGTCCCTATATTTACAGTTGTTTTATCCAGGCTTTTCTACCTGAGGCCAGTGCATCCTCACAGATATGTTACTTTTGGTGATGTGCTGAGAATGAAATGAAGACATAACTACAAAGCATGTACTGATGTTACAGGGGCAGTCGGTAAGCACAGTTGTTGTTTTATAGCCTAAGATCCAAAGACCCCATAGTCCTGGGCTGGCATTGGGAGGGAAGAGTACAGAGAAGTGGGGAATGGGAGAGTGGTGCGTCAGGGACCGGGAACGAGAGTAGTCCCTCCCCCTGCTTTCCAGGCTGCAGTGAGGCGCGGAGGAGGTATTTCTGATACACGGGCACAGTCTCGATCTGGGTGTCATTTAAGGGGTCTGAGACAGTTGTTTTGAGGAGGGACGGAGGCCAAGGATGCTGAAGCCAAGGTGGGGCAATCCAGGGGCCCCTTTAGGGAGGCGCTCCTCTGAAACGAGAGCCTGATTAGTGGTTGCTTGACAAGAATTAATATCTTCCCAGTCCCCTTTCATTACGGTTTTTGGTCCAAAGTACGTCCCGAAAGTCTGTTGTGCTTACAAGTAGGGCTTTTGGAAGTGGTTAGATCCTGAGAGCTGTGACTTCATCGAGTGGATGAGTCTGTTGATTTGACGGCGCTATTGGAGGCGATGGAAACCGGAAGTGGGGCCCGTTTGAGGGAAGTGGATCATGGAGGCATGACCTTGGGAGCTATATCTTGTCCTGTGTGCCTTTGTCTTTGGTCCCCTTTTCTGCTTCACAGCTGCCATGAAGTGTAGAGCTTTGTCCTACCACATCTTTTTGCTGTGATGGTTTTGTTTGGATACAGGCCTAATGCAAAGGAGCTGGCCAGCCACAGACTGAACGAAGCCTCTGAAACCATGCACCAAAGAATAAGCCTTTCTTCCTCAAAGTCGTTCTTCTCAGGTAACTTTTCCCAGTGACAAAGAGGTCATCGACACATCTTTAAAAGAACAAGGCCTTTCCGAAAAGTAACAGAGTCAGTCTGTGACACGGCATGAATAAAGCATGATAAGCATGCTCTCCACTTGGCTGAACTTAGGCTGGAAGTTGATGAAAGCCGAATAAAGACTGAGAGCGAGCAAGTTACTTTCATGTGTTAACAGACCCAGGGCCTCCACGCGTGGTACAGTGTGAGGAGCCAGAGGTGAAATGGCTGAGATGCTCCTCTCCTCACCTCTTTTTAATCTGGGGGGTCTGGGGTGATTTTGGGCTCTGGGGAACATAGCCAGGTGTGACGCACAGGAGGAAAGCAGGGTTGTGGGTGAGGGCCTGAGGGAGAGCATGAAAGAAGTATGGGGAAGAAGGGAGGGAAGGAGGAATCCATGGAGACACAGCTAAGTGGGAAAAGTAACTTGAAGAAGTCAATAAAGGATCAAACTGAAAGGCAGGGAACAGTGATACTGACAAATACATATTCAGTCCTCTTCCGATTTCCTGACACACAGTTCCTGAAACCCGCTGAGTTTCAGCATGCTAGCAATAGGATGTATTTTAAAGGAAGACGGGAAAGGATGCCTTTTGAGGGAGATGCCCCAAAGCTTCTACTGAGCCAGAGCTGAGGGCTAAAAATGGTAGTTCTTAGTGGCTTCACCAAGGCTGAGGATTTGGGCTAGCCGCTGGTCCCCATTTTTCATCACTTGTTTAGCAAACTTTTATTATACAGGTTGATTATCTCTAATCTGAAAATCTGAATCTGAAAGCTCTGAAATCCAAAACTTTTTGCACGCTGACATGATCACCACCAATGGAAAATTCTACAGACACAATTACTAAAAATAATGCATAAAGGCCAGGGAATAGCTCAGTGGTAGGCTGAGTCCCATGTTTGCAAAGCCCTGGGTTTGATCTCCAGTACCACACACACACACACACACACACACACACACACACACACACACACGGTATTTAAAATTATGTGCAGGTGTTATGTACAAGGTGTATATGAAACATAAATGACTTTTAGGTTTAGACTTAAATCTCCTCCCCAGGATGTATTACATACATGCAAACATTCCAGAATCTGAGGAAATCTGAAATCTAAAACCCTTCTGGTCCCAAGCACTTCTGATAAGGAATATTCAATATACAGTTTTAATGTATAGTTAATGCAAAACTCACATGAACTGGTAGCGGAATTCTGACCCAGACCAAAGGAATTTGTTTTCTTATAAAATCTTCAAAAGCGCATGCAAATCTTCCCCATTCCCCAAATCACCAGGGATTTCTTTAGCAACGCTGCAACGAGATAATTTTTATATTTTAGTCCCAAATCCATACACAGTCACTTTGGTTCACTTGGATCTGTCAGTTCAGAACTGACCAGTTAGCGCCAGATAAAAATAGCCACACTAGCTGTTTTATAGACATCTTTTTAATGTTTTACTTGAAAACAAATAATCCCAGTAAAAGACAGAGAATGAAATTACATGGTAGCTTGAAATGGATATGATTTTCCTGATTTATTTGTTTTCAGGAAACAGACAACTGCATTGTTGTACATGACTTTTAGAACTGCTTGCTTAAATGCACACAATTATATTAAATTAAGTTGCTCTTACATAAACGCAACCAGGTTATTTAAGGCAAAAAAAAAAAAAATCAGCCTCTGGGGAGATAACATATTCATGCTATTTCCTTAATCTGTTTGAATGCAATGATCCATTTATTTAACTGCCCAGTTTTCTTCATTGTTTATGGTTTTGCTTTGCAAATGGTTATGAGACTTAGTCACTTTGTGCCTGATTTCCTCTTCTCTGTTAAGCTTGTTTGACTTCAGATTAAGAACTTGCAGAATAGGGAGGTGATAAAGGCACCTTAGAACAAGAGATAGAGATTTAAAAACGCAATAAAATGTCTTACTTGCACTCCACACATATTAATTTAGTCGAACAGAATGCAAACATTACATCAGAATAGCAAAATGTTTAGTGAACCTCATACCCGGGATATCTGTGATTAAGTAAGTACTCACTCATTTCTCCCCTATGTGTAGAAGGATTCAGACCAGCTTGAGCTGAGAATGCAGGTGGCTACTCAGTGCTCAGCTAAATTGTGCTTCAAGACACCATTTGGATCGACCAATGGAAATTGCTGAGTGTAAATGGGACACCCTTTTCATTTCCATAGAGAGTGACACAAACAGAACCTTACAGTTTTTTTCACCATCTTTTACCACTGGAGAGTTTTTGTGCTAGAGTGAGGCAGACAAGATGGTCATGGCTTCAATAGATGCAAGTTTTTCACAACATGGCTTATCACATTTTGCTATGACTAAGACCTCAGCAATGGTGGTGGCGGCGGCGGGGGGTGGGTATTTCTGAATCTTCATTCTCCAGCAATGCTGGAAGAACTACACTGCATGAGGTCTAATGAGGCCTCAGAGGGGATCCCCAATACATTCAGAATTCCTGCTGCCAGTGGGCTTTGACCCAAGACAGAGTACATCCTAGAATCAGTGCTACCCGAAAGGTGCTGACTCCTTCCTCCTTCTTGGCTAATATTTGGAGAGACTTGCCCAGCGTGGGCCAGGTGTCACGCTTTGGGTCAGTGTGCGCGTGCGTGTGCGTTTATGTGAGCAATGTCCTCAGAGGGCGTATCACATTTTCAGGTTGAGTAGAGACAAGGGTAGATGAAAAATTGTATTTAAAAACAGACTATCCTTCTGGGTTTGGAAAATGAATACAATTAAATGCTTAGCAAACTCTTTTTAACTGGAGTGTCTCCAGCAGCCGAGAAAATCCTGAACGATATACTCCAGGGGAGTGTGTTAGGGTCCAAGGGAGATAGGAAGAGGAAGCTTTTAAAATTGCAGTTTAGCAAAGGGAACAAACATTTTAGAAGGCTGAGAAGCACATTTTAAGTAGAGAGGAGAAGTGGTTTACTTGGGGATGGAAGACGGTTAAGGCCTAGTGAAATTCTAAAGCAAAACAATGACTGAGCCCAACTAGTGGGGGTGAAAGCTGGGTTGGGCTGGTAGATATCAGGGCCTCTTTCCTTTGAGCAGCCCACAGGTACATCTATTTCTTCTCCCTGGCCGCTGGAGATATTTTTCTGGTGGCAACTCTAATGCTTTCCACAGAAAAAGCTCTTCTTTTCTTGAGTTCTTCTGTGGCTGGGGTTTAGTCGGTTGAAATGCTACCTCTCCTCTCCTTGCCTTGTTCAAGCCATTGATTTGGCCCAGATTCCAACAGTCTGAGATCGTGAGGCTGACACCTAACAAGCAGCCACTGCTGCTTGTTTCGGAGAAATATATTTTTCATTTTCCCTTGGTGTTTTTTGCAGCCATGTGTATGGTAAGTATTTTGATTTGCGGACCTTGCCAGTACCATTTGGCTTTTAATTATCAACATTTATACTATGAAACCAAACCAGTAATTTCAGACTCGCAGCTTTCTTGAGGAGAATAGAAAGTGTCCACTACAGTATAAAAAGTAAAGGAAGGTTAGCTTTAGCTTTTCATATGCAAAATGTATGACATAACAGTAAAAGACATTCAGGGCATATTAAAAAATAAATACTTTGCAAAATCTCTATCTGTATATAAGAATAAGGGATGTTTAGGTAGTTGAATTCCCTAGCAAGTATCACTTCCTAAAAAAATCTAGTTCTTTTGTTTTGGTTTGTTTCTCTCCCTCTCCTTCAGTCTTTGAGGGGGAAGTTGTTTTCTGAGCTCTGCCTTTTACTTCCTGGTGTTGCGTCTGGATTCTTTCCAAGTGGCTTCTCTCTCAGTCCCATTTAAACATCCCCTTGAGTGTGACCTGAAAGCCAGGTCCGAGAGGACTGCTTCTCACGCTCGCCCTTCACACGAGCAGCATGATGAGCCCAAGGCTGATGTTTCTGCAGAGAAACCAGCCCAGTCGCACTGGCTCTTTTCAATTGCTCGTGTACAAGTTGCCCATTTTCAGACCTGACTGTGCCACTAGGGAATATATTTCCACAGAGTCAAATATGTCAGAGGGTGAGCCTGTGTACCTTCCTGGCCCTGAATCCCATCATTTGCACATTTTCTAATTGAGAGACATTCTTGCCATAAAGGACAACATGAAAATGATGTGCAAAATTGCTGGCCGCAGTGTTATATCACCAAGAGCACACAACGCGACATTCAAACGACATGGATAGTAAAATGACTTGAGTGGGAATGGGTTGGCAAAAAAATATCTCGAAAAAAGCAGCCATTTCTATTATTCCCAAATTGTGGTTTACTTGATACATTGTGAGCAGCTGTTGATAGTCATTATGTTTAAGTATACATTATGACCCCATTTTGAAGATGTATTTTGTTTTTAATCACAAAGCAGAAATGTCTGAAATTTAAAGGTGTTTACTCCCATATTTCAAGATATACTGTCCAATCTTCTAAGCAATCTAATCTTGACATTTTCACACTCCCTGTAGCATTAGCAGTGCTTGGTATCTCAGAATTTTAAACTCAAGGTACATTACTAAGTGTTAATGTTGATGCACCTTGAAATTTCAGCCACCCCTAAACATGCATTTTCATGCAATTAAAAGATAACGGGCTTATAAACTGCCTTTCACGTTCTCCCTGATTCTTGCAACTTCAACTTTTTAGAAGGGCTTTCAAAATAGTTCATGCAATGATATGTATGGCTAAAGGAACCACTATGTTTAGAAAGAAAACGAAGCGCTTATTTCAGTTTGACATGGGGCAAGCTGAGGGCATCTGAACTTTCTCCTGCCTTACAAATGCTCTGAGATGACCGCGATCTTCCAGTCCTAAGAGAGTCCGTTGCGAAAGCAGCTTCCTTGGCGGGCTGCGGTGTGCCGTCAAAAGTGTCTGTCTCTGTCTCTTCTGCACACACCTCTTCATCTGTTATGAACAATTTGGATTCCCTCCATTTGGGGTAAAAATCTTGGCTGCCTCTGGAGCCACTTGACTCACTCCCTGAAAGCTGTAAATTCAGTTCCTCCGTCGACCTGATCAGGTTTTGTACAGACAGACATTTGCCCAGGTCCTTGGACACGGTGGGGAGGACGGACAGCAGAGTTTCTCCTCCCGTGTCGAAGCTTTTCCTCAGAGAACGGTCCTTGGTCAAGTTGGACTGCGCAACCTGAATGTTTTCCTTGGAGGAAACAAGGCAGGTGGTGGCATCAGAAATGCTTTCCTGTAAGCCGGTGGGGTTTGGGTGCAAAGTCTCCGGCCTCGGCAGATGCTTGATGGCCGGGAGAGGAGGTGGGATCTGTAAAGTTGTTGGGGCGGCCGGCTTGGGCGCCGTGGTTATTTGGTTTGCAATGTTGCTGGCCGCCACTGCAGAGCCATCGCTCTGGCTCATTGGCACCTGTGTCACTGGGCTGTGCATAGTAGGGCTGAGCGCATAGAAAGTCTGAGCACTGAACTCGTTTGGCGTCAGGATGAACTGCAGCCCCCGTGAGATGTTGGCACTGGCTGATCGGGTCAAGCAGCCACTGTTCTGGGCGGAGCTGGACAGGTCCTTGCTATCCACGGGGCTTTGATAGTCGGATGTCTGTTCACATTCAAAAGGCGGGATCTGGAACGAAGCCAGAGTGAGAGCAGAGGCGGAGCCCTTGCGGAGGACCTGCTGGTAGATGTCCAGGAGGCAGTCCAGCTTGGACTCGATGGACTGGACCTAAAGTGGGGGACACGGACACACAGAGACGGCCTGTTATTCAGAATGGATTTCATTTCTGGAATTAAAAAAAGTGAAATGAGTGTGTGCTGATACAATTAAAAAATAACAAGTGCAAATTATGGTGCCGCTGCTTCGACTGGTAACGAAGGCTGTATCTGTTGGGATGGGGCCAGAGGAGGAGACACGGGGGGAGGCTTTGGCTTTTGTCACCTCCTCTGCCACGCCTCCTTCCACCTCTTCAAAATGAGAAGTCAGTTGATTTTTCAAAATGCCAGATAAGCACTATCAAATGCAACTTGCCATCCCAGTCAGATTGCCTTTCTGATTCTACTGATTGCCTTCCGGGAACTCTACTGAATTTTAGAAAGGAGCTTATTACATAATGAAATAAGCACCCAAGTGTCAACCCAGGTGAGCCTGAATTTAAAAATAAAGGTACAAAATGCTTCCAAATTAATACTTGGAATGCTTATGATTCCATTGGGAGAGCAATTTGATTTCTGGGAAATTGTACTTGTATGAGAAAATACAGCCTCAAGGTTAACAAATACCCAACGCTTGTCGTAATTACAGTAAGGTTTTTGTCTTACTTTAAAAAAGGGTGACCTAAAAGAGACAGTGCAAAGAACCATGGCACAATGAAGTATAGGTCTTTACTCTTTTACTCTTGGAAATCTACAGTTGCTTCCAGTGAAGGATTCACCGATGAGATACAATTTTCGATTGCTTAAGTGGAGTTCCACAGGTGTCTAGAGGACACTGTATGTACACAAGAAAGATTTAATTTCATTCACTCTCTCATTTTATCCCTTTAAAATGTATCAATTATTAACGCATACCCGCTTGCTTGCAATTAAGTTTGCTTAAAAACAAACTGATGAGCGTAGCTGAACAGTACCTGTTTTTCAACCTTGACTACCCGGCCAAGCATGCTGAGATCATCTGTGGCTTCCTGTTCTGCTGTGATTTTCTCCCGGCTCTTCTTATCTGATGTGATTTGCCCCTTTCCAAGAATTTGGTCAACGCTACCAGAGAAAGAGGATGTCTGATTACACGTGCCGAAGGTGCACATTGCCTTGGCCAGAGTGAAGGGTTTTGAAAAGAAAAATTAAACACAAATGTCTTAAATCTATTTAAGTTGGAATAAAGGCAAGTGGGTTCCAGTTGATGATTTTATTTCTTAACATGAGATTACACATGAGGTTAAGTTTCTCAGAATTCTGGTTCTGTGATGAATACACTCATAGGTGATCTTCTGGGGGCAAGGCTGTCCTAAATATTCACCTCAGACAAGGCAGGTCTGAATTCAACCACTTCAAAATACGAAAAAGTCATAATGATGACAATTTTGGATCAATAGAGCAAATTACTCAATGAGGATGTACTGCACATCTGCTATGTGGCTGATAAGCAGATACGAAAACTGTTGCTTTTTTTGTTACCAGGGATGGAACTCAGGTCCTCATGCTTGCAAGGCAGGCGGTGGAACCACTGAGTTAATCCCCAGCCCAACTGTTGCTTTTTGGAATTTGAATTGGGAGGATATGCATGAGCTAGAAAGCCCAGACTGATTGCAAATTCTGTAGCAGTTCAACCTTATACAAATGTTGGGCACCATACAAAGTTCCTTAGACTATAACATGACCAGGGATGAGTTAAAGTGGTGTTAAGGAGATTTGACCAGCCAAAACAAAATAGAAAAAAATTTCTATTTTTTGTCTATATTTTACACTTGAATTATCATAAATATTGACTCAACTTTCCAGTTTACTTCGTCTGCATAGAAACAGGTAATGCCTACTTTCTGCCATAATATCTACTCTTTTAAACTATAAGCTTTGCAAGGCCTGGATCATTACTTTAAGCTCTGAATGTCTACCATGCCTGGAACACATATTAGGCTCAGTAATTATATGCTGAATGAATAAAGTGATTTCTAGAATTAATCAACAGGTCTTTTACTAAGGCTCTAATGTGAATATGCCTTACTCTGTGTTAAGTGTGCCGTGGAAACCCAAAAAGCACTTAAGACCTAGTTGTATTTGAACTATTTGATCTCTGATGCTGATAATTTGTACTTGAAAATAAATCAACTATTACAAAAGTTGGAACTGACTAAATATATGACTTGAAGAAGAACCAACCACACATGGGTGAAATGTACATCACCAAGCAGGATGCTTGCTGGGAAAATGCTACATGGCTATCACTGTACACAGTACTAGCAAAAGGAAGGGCCCTGTCTTCGTGGAGAGCAAGGACAACACACTTGCAAACCAGGGAACGATACAGGGCTGAGTATCTCTGTCCATCTCTCTCCAACTCTCCCAAGGCTGTTATGCTGTATAGTAACCTTTAATGCCACAGAAGGTCAGAAAAGAGAAAGAATTGTCTTCATGAGCTGCATGGCTAGGGAAAGCTTCTTGCAGGAGATAGGTTAGATTTTTGCCCAGGGGTTCTGGTGATAACGGAAACAGCCATAGCAGCAATAATCAAACACCAGCAACTGCCATCGGTCTTCGCTGCACACTTCGTGCCCACGTGATTACACCTCATATCTTAACCCTTTTGGTCCTCCAGACAAGACTGTGAGCAGAAAGAGTTAATGGTCCATTTTCTTTTTCTTTCTTTTTTTTTCCTTTTCTTTGTTTCTTTTTTTGAGACAGGGTCTCACCGTGTATTTGAGACTGACCTGGAACTCACTATGTAGCCCAGGCTGGTCTTGAACTCAGAGATCCTCCTGCCTCAGCCTCCCAAATGCTGGGATTATAGGCGTGCACCACCACACCTGGCTCTAACAGTCTATTTTCAATGTCCTCCTTTTGGATGCCTAATTTATGTCTATGTTAAAAGTGAAAGTCCAGTTGTCCACTAAAAACAAATTATAAATATGGACTTTGAAGATTTTTGTCTACTAAAGAAAAGTTCTTCCTAGATACAGTAATTTCTGTGCTCTTCCCTTTACGATGAATAGCATTTTAATTACTTACCGAGTTTGAAGGCTTTTAATTCTACACAGCATGTCCAGATGACCAGCAGAATATTGTTCAATGACATCTTTTACATCATATGGGCGCAATGTTTCCTTAAACTTTCGTTTTGCAACATGAAATTTCATAATTCTGCACAAATAACATGTCACATATTAATCTCCATAACTTTGCTAAAAGAAGTTACCAAAATGATTTTTTGGTAAAGATAAGAAATTATGAAGGGGAAAAAAGTCAAGAATCAAATTATTTGAGGTGCCTAGGAAATGTAATATAAATGCCTGAAGTTACAGAGGACAATTTAAAAATGTCTTTGTAAGACACACCTTAAAAGTACAAAAAAGTATCAAATCAGGCTGAAAAAAGTGACTAAATGTTAAGTATTATACCTTTTAAATGTTCACTGAGACCCTGAATTTAAATTATAGTCAAATTATAATTCTATCATCTCAACATGATCCAGAAGTTCAAGACAGAAAGAATACGTCGTGATAACCCTTAAAGCAAAGGAAGGTGGGTATGCATGTACCAATATAGCAAAATGGAACACATTATTCTGTACTGCTAATATGAAATATATGTATGAACATGTCAAATAAATATTAAAATTAGAAAGCTTTCTCAAATGGTCTTTCATGTAACTACATGCATTTCTGTGATACAAATGTGTTCACCAAACATTATTATTCTCCCAAAAGCAATTTACAGTAGTATGAAGATTTTCATAGATTCTTACACTTCTGGATTAGCTAGCTAAGTTTCTTTTATTTTAAACATAGCACACTTATCAACTAAGCTTAGATAGCTAAGTTTTTCAGAACAGAGCTCTCTTAGGACAACATGAATTCCAGGTTTCAAAACAATATTTCATTAGTTACTGCCATGATGCCCATGATAAACAGTTCTTGTAAGTAACTTCATAAAGTTCATGATGAAATCAAAGAAATCTAGCATTCTAATTAGACCGTTTAGCCTTTTTTGCAGGTAAAAGTTACACTATTGGAGTTTTTCAACTAGTAAATGGCTTGTAGACTTCCGCTATCACACTCAGAGATAGCAGGCTGGGGATCAGTTGAGCAGCCTTTTAAGAACCAGAATTTATTGTCCCTTAGTGAACAATGGAAAGGTTAGGATGATTAGAGTTTAAAAAGAAAATGCCTATTGTCTATCTTAAATGATAGCTCCATTCCATGAATCCAAATAGTTTTATAGGTTATAAAGCCCAAACTTTATCTTGTAATTGTATTAACTTTAAATTAAGTCTATCGTAATTATTGCTAAATCACTTATCCTTAACATTCTCTCTCCCTCTTCCTACCCCATTTTCTTCACTAATTTTTTCTTTACTCAGATGGTTTTTTTCTCCTTAAAGATACGTAAGCAAAAATAATCAGCAGAGAATTAAAGAAACCTGTGCTTTAATTTAACTTTGAGTATTTAGCTTTGGTTTCAAATTTGTTTGCTACCAATTAGGTTTCACTGGGGGAGGGGGGCTCAGTTCCCTAGATCCAGGAAACTGAGAACAATGCCTAACCTGTGATGAGTCTGGCCTTCAGTGATATGTAAATATCCATTTCTCTACATCAGGCTGTTGGTTAGGCGAAGGCAGTGAAAAGCATCTTCTATTCAACAGTCAGCACCTGCGATAGTCAAGGTTGCCTGTCAACTTGACTGGATTGAGAAATGCCTAGGGGATCAGTGAAAGCACACTTCTGGGGGTGGCGGACTGTTCTCTCGGAAGACTCCACCTTCATTGGTGGACTGGTCCACTGATACCATCACACTTTGATGACATTACAGAGAGGTGGGCCTCTTGGCGGAAGGGAATGCATTACGGGAGTGTTACGTCGGGAGGGTGTCTGGCCCTTTCCTCTTGAACTCTTCTCTTCCTCTGCTTCCTGGCTGTCACGGAGTGAGCACTTAGCTTCACCACGCTGCTCTTCTGCCATGATTTTTGTGCCTTGCTTGGAGCCAGCTGACAATGAAACCTTTGGAACTGAGAGCCAGAACAAACATCTCTTCCTTTAAGTTGTTTTTCTCAGGGTTTTGGCTACAGTGACTAAAAGTAGTCAAATACAGTGCTTACTCAAAGTTAGCTTTTCATACTACTGCTGTTGCTTCTATAGTTACCACTACTATTCTGCAACACTGTGGACTCAAAGCTCGGTACAGATTCTGACACGGTAGAAGGAAATATTTGCTGAACACGGGGAGAAAGGAAAGAAAGTGATAAAGAAGACACCTTCCAAGCTCGGTGGTTCCACCGCCTGCCTCACAAGTGCAAGGACCCAAGTTCAATCCCCAGTATTAAAAAAAAAAAAAAAAAAAAAAAAAAAAAAAAAAAAAAAAAAAAAAATCCATTCTGGGCCATGTTTTCAATAAAACTTGAAAAGCTAATCTAACAGCCCTGAACCCTTCAAAGTAGATAGTGATGTCAGGGTGGATAGGAAAAATTATCTTTATACATCCTTCTGTACTTTGCGGATTCTTGTGGTCATCAGTATTTTCAGTTATATTGCTCAAGATTTTTTATGAATGTGTAATAATTGTTCATATTTATGGGGCACATACAGTGCAATATTTCAGTATACATATACATGTGTACTGATCACACTGGGACAATTAATGTGTTCATCTCCTTATCATTGCTTCGTGTTGGGAATCTCTGAACTACTTTTTCCTACTTGTTTGTGAAATACGTAGTCTCCTTAATGCTCTGTTAAATGCTACAACTTATTCCTTCAAATTGTGCTTGAGTACCGGTTATACAACTTCCACTCATCTATGCTCTCTGCTACTTTCTCAACATCTAGCAGTCACTGTTATTCATTCCAACTGATTTATTTGTTAACATTCACATATGAGAGAAAACGTGGTATGTGTGGAACGTACCTCACTTAACATGATGCTCTCCGGTTCCATCAATTTGTTGCAAATGATGGGATAGCATTTTTTTCCATGGTGTATATTCACCAGAGTTTCCTTATCCATGCATCCATATCCATCTATACCTATCTATCTATCTATCTATCTATCTATCTATCTATCTATCTATCTATCTATCTATCTCCAGAAGTGAGATAGCTGGCTGTCCTGCGGAACCTCCACCCTGTTCTTCATAGTGGCTGAACTTGTACTAATTCACATATCCACAAATTATATATGACAGCGTCCTTTCCTCCATATCCTCATCAGCACTTGCTACTTTTTGTCTTCCTGATCACAGCCATCTAACCAGGGTGAGATGACCTCCCCGCTCTCGTACCAGGGATCAAACTCAGGAACTTGTACTTGTCAGGTAGGCACAGTGCCACTGAGCTAAATCCCTAGCCCAGGATCATACTCATTGTAGTTTTCACTTGCAATTCTCTGATGAGTAATGAAGCTGAACATTTTTTTTTCCATAAATTTGTGGGCCCTTTGATTTTCTTTTGAGGAGTGTTTCTTTATATCCTTTGTTTTCTTCATATTTTAGAGTTGGATTATTTGGGATTTTTTGCATTCTTTTACATTCCTTGTGTATCCTGGATATTTATCTTTCATCAGTTTGCAAAATGCTTTTCCAGTTTCCTTTGGGAAGTGTCATGGCTTCTGTCTAGAGGTTCTCCCAAAGACTTACACAGTCATAGGTAGGGGCTTTTCAGAGGTAGCCAGATCTAGAGTGTGTGATGCTGGGATTAAGGGTGCTTGGTTACTAAATTAGTCCAATGACTGGTTTGGCATAGTACTGGGTGTGGTTAAGGAGAAGACCTGCCCTGGGTTGAGTGCTATCAGCCCTAAGGATGGGTAGCCTGGATAGAATATGAGGGACAGAAAGGACTGCTGTAGTCATTGCTCGTTACCCAGTGCTTGCTGGTTTTGCTGCCTTCTGCCTGCCATGAATTATTTCTCCTCTGCGATGCCCCTCTGCTATGCAGAGGCAGCCAATTATAGACTGAAACTTCTACAGGTTGTGAGGCAAAATAAACCTTTTATTCTTTAACTTTGGGTGTTTGGTATCGTCTCAGTTATGAGAAAAGTAACTAAGACAAGAGAATTTAAGAGAAGCTACATTTTGATGCATTTGATAGACAATAGTGGATTCTAGCCCTCCCTTAGCCATATTTTATGCAAATCTTAGATAATTTCACTTTTACTTGCATAACTTACTACGTATGAGCTAGCCAAATTAAATGAAAACCTGTATTTTATAGTTTTGATCAATATTTGTTATTTTGATCAACAGTAAACATTTTTGATGGTATTTTATGCTGTTTCAGTATAGCCATGTGATGATAAGTATGCAAAGTAGAGCTCCTCTTTGTTTTTAGTGCTGGGGATGGAACCCAGGGCTCCTACACATTAGGCAAGGGTTCTATCGCTGAGCTACATGACAGTCCCATACTTCATTGGTTTGCACATGCTCTTTCTTATTTGCTTTTTCTGAAATCCCACAATGTTTTAAAGAATCAACTTTCTAGTCACTTTTCAGTGGGGTTTTGACAGCATATGCCTGTCACCTTTGTGTCATACCCACACACACCACACTGTCTCTACTCCTTCTCCCAGCTTCTCTCCACCTCTAGCCCAACACAGCGCAGAGTTCCATGAACACTCGAGGCCCTCTGTCCAGATGCTCGCCTGAGGGGACCGGGTGGCTGTCTAGGTGGACATGGATCACTGAAGGAGACAGTGCTTGTCCTTTTCCCTCCAAAGATTCATCTTTTCCACCACTCTGCAGGCTGCCCATGCTCCAGCCCTTCTGGATTTTCTTGTCAGTACAGCGCTCTTTCCTTTGGAGTCTCACTCTGGACTCTACCTAGAGCTCACTGCTCCAGATTCAGCTCAATCACAGTCTTCTTAGAAGCTTTCCTCGCCATTCCCTTGGGAAGGTCTTTCTTGACCCGTTCGGTGTGCTGTCACGAGCCGAGCCTGGGGTGATGGACCACACCACTGGTGCTTGTGGCTGTCAGGGATGTGATTTTCATCCCAGCACCCCACGCAATCCCTGCAAGTATGAGGGGACCGATACATGGGAGCTAAGGAAACAAATGTGGTGTTGGTGCTCCACAGTTGTTCAAAGTTTGTGTTCTGTCACAAAGCAGGCTCTTGTAGGGACCTTCCAGAAAGAGAACCGTAGAATAGATCAAAGT